TCCGCACAACGTTTTGCTTACGACCGTCCGTGTGTTTGCTAATACGTACTTACGTTGTGCGGTTACGTCGCGCGCAGCGAAGAGTTAATCTCGTATTTGTGATTCTCAGTCTTCGTCCGCTCGAAACACTTTCCACCGAACCAGCGGAATACTCACCGGCGTCGGTCTTACGAACGATGCGAAGGGCGTGATGGATGGAACGTAAAAATTATCTTTTTTCGACTAACTATGTGCGCACGTTGGCAAAGTTGTCTCGGAACAGAGCCGGAACCTAAGTCTCGGGAGTACAGGGTACGGCCCCACACTAATCGGAAGCCCGGTGAAAAATCAGAAATTGATTGACACACACCATCTCTATTCCTTCGACAAGTCAAATCAACGTACGTCCAATGAACGGTTCTGTAATTTTTTTTTTGTAAATCTTTGTGTAATTTTTTGAATCCTTTATTTCAATATTTGATACTAAATTATTTCTCATGAAAATGTCAAATATATATTTCATATTATACAACGATCGTAATGCATCGTATACCATTAAAAAAATATACCACCTGAACCTGAGGCCCAGGTGTATTGTACCTATTGCTACGTTGTACATCTCTGCTAAAACCGACTCTGGCTCGAAATGTAGAGTGACCATATGCGTGCGATAATTATTGTTTTTCACCGTCCCCGTGGAACACGTCGTGAACCACCTCTGGCGCAGTGGCATATTTTCAATTATTTACAACAATTAATTTTATGTAATAATATATATAGAAAAAATATATCTAACACGTGCTTTTAGCCTACTCTTGTTCCTTTTTGCTGTCTCCCTACGTATTACTTTCTTAATACGAGTAAATTTCACTACTTAATCGTTACAAATTAATACTATTTCTTAATTTTCTAATCAACACTCTTCTATGTGCGCAAATGTTCAAAAAAAAAAAAAAAAAATTATACACAGGCATTGCCTTTCTTAGCGTAATATTGTGCACTGTGAAAATATCTACACTATATAAATACACTTTTAGTTCTATGCAGAAAAATACAATGATGTATATTAAATATTTTAGTTTATTTGTAACAACAAATTATATTGTTATAATATATTTTGATTGTATATATTATATATAATTGTAAATATAATATATTAACTATTAATAGTTCTTCTTCCGTTGAATCGATTTTTCATAAAATTTTTGCAGAAATTATGCCTTCTCTATCGCAGGTTATAACTACAATTTACATTACAGATATCTTTATAATAATACGGGGCATAAAACACACACACATATGCACACACTTTAGCGTATTATGATTTGACTGAAAAAGTGTTATTATACTGTATCTGCTGAAATTGAGATTCGTCCCGTGTGAATGGTCGTACGAATTGTTCCGGTTTTATCAGAAAATTCGACATGATATTTTTAAGCCGGCGTGTGTGCTGAAGATTCTCATAGTATACGCTTGGCGTATTATGTATATTTTATCACGTCGTTTATCGCTGTTGGAATAACGCAATGAAAATATTATTTTTAATACCTGCACCGGCTGCTAACGTTTGTATTTGATATCTGACAACGATAATGAAAATCTGTCTTTTGAATGTGTACGCGCACATATAACTCCTACCATCATATGGTATGCAATAACTATTCTCGTATGACTTTAAGCATGGGTATATATGTATCGAATATCGAATGAATGTATGTAGGTATATATTATGATTCGGTGTTGTAGATTTTGAGCTCGACGAGGATTGTATTGATTTTACAACGAAGTATTTTTTCTTACTATTTTTTGAGAATGAATATTTTCACTGGCAAAGCTTTGGTAAAAGTCTAATTTGGTATTTTATATGGAATAACATTAATCTAACTAATGCTTACCTATTTTGGAAAAATCATTACTTGATTTCAGTATTATTATTGATATTCTTTCTGAAAAAAAAATAAAAACGGATATTAGTGGCCAATAGTGTAGGTACATTTTATCTATCAAAAAATTATGTATAATATATGTATACAGGTGTGTACATTTCTTTAAAAAAAATTAGTATTTTTTCTTCCACTAAATGAATAATTAGCTTGGAAAAATTAAAAACATGGACTTTTTCCATTTTATGTAGAACTAAAAATCAGAATATTTTACTTTATAAGTTTTTTTTTTGTAAAGTTTTTTTCATTGAATACAGTACAACAATAATAATTGGTTTAAAAATAATAATGACTATGAATTGTCTTTTTAAGTACGCAGTTTGTATTTCCAAGATTTTAAATCTGAATTTATAATTTACAATTAGAAATGATAATTTATTTTCCTTCATTCGAGTGCAGTATTTGTAGATTAATAAAATTTCCTTTATAAAATACTATGCAATTAGATTTATGATACAATAAGAGATATAATTTTATACCGAAATTCATTCCGAATCGTTTTTTGAACATTTTGAATATTAGATTTCCTTTATTTTATAATGTATACAACAATAATACCCTGACAAACAAAATCGTGCACTAGATTCTTGCTTACAGATTAGAAATCTTTAAAATTATTGTTTGTAATTGATTTGGTTACAATTATGCCAGAAGGTATACATCGACCATAAAGTTTACGCTCTACTGCCTCTCGCGTAGGTAACAGCAATTTGATTTTCTTGCACTACGAGTATAGATTTCCCCTTTGGCAATCGTAACAAGGAGTAATTGTTATTATGTTGGACGTTTCGCACGTGTGACGGTACAACAATGAGTCAGGGTGATATCACTTGATCCACGTCGAAAATATTATCTACGAACAACCATAAAAGGACCGAACGTCAATTTCAAAGGGAAGTCATTTTCAGCTTGCACGATACTCGCATTGTTATAGCCTACGATAAAATAAGGATCATAGGCTTCGTATAAAACTTTATTTTGATTTTGATTGATTAACTGATAAAACTGTAAGAAAATAAAAAATGAAAAAATATTATACAAAATTTATTTTTTAATTTTTTATTTTGGTTAATGAGCAAAAATAATTTGTAAAATCCCGTGAAAAGATATCTCGATATATCTGGAGAAAAAAAAAAGAGTGAGGTGGAATAACCGGCTCGAAAAAATAAAAAATACTATAAAAATTTGAAGTGACGTGATAACATTCAGTTTTAATTTTCACGCGTCTACCGTAATATGCTCGCAATTCGGACTCAAAGACGTCTAATGCGGTGGATCTATATTAATTAGTATTAATTTCCCGGCCTCGTAATAGATATAATACAACAACAACAATAATAATAATAATAATAATAATAATAATAATAATAATAATAACGTGATAATCAAACACGACAAAGCACAAGAACAACCACAGTTTTTATTTTGACGCTGCAGTTAAACTGCGTCAGACATTTTCAGTTCCTGGATGGGTGACCATCCGGAAATTTAACTATGAAACGCCTAAGCTAAGTGTGTTCCATCAACCGACAAAACATCCAACTCCTCCAATGTACACAAGATTGCCTGAGCTGCCCCGCGTTAGAAAAAATTTAAATAATAATAATTTTGACGAAAATAAAACACGGGATTCTACGTAAATTTACCGTACAACGGGCGTATAATTTTCCAATTTTCCACTTGTGCATAGGACAATACAAAAAAACCTTATATCACGTATAATCCTACGTGCATACATTTACGTTTACACTATGGTCACAAATGGTTGACTCGTAAACTCTTCGTGAAGGGCAAAAGGAGGTATCAACTCAATTCCTGAAAAAAATAAGTTTTTACGGAAAATGATTCTTTGAAATTGTCTTAAAATGCTTAACTTTTAACGTTTATCAACTTTGAGTTTACTCTTGCAAAACTATGAATGTAACGCATAGCGTTCTAGGGTAATATTGTGGTCGATATTAGGTACTACCGTAAAAATATATTATTATAATAATTTACAAATTGACTAACAGCATGATTCGGTGAAACTATGTCCAACCGAAATTTTTCAATAGAGGGTAAAATATTGAACATTGGTAATAAATGAAAAATATTATATTGATTCATGGATAATATGTGGAAACGTTTTTTTGTACGTTCAACAATTTGTATAGTGAGGTAATAAGCAAGATTATAGTGAGTCTTAGATGTTGACCGAAAAGACACGCTCGTCGTCGTCGACCAAATTCGTTTTCAGTTATCGTTTTATTCGACCGCGGTCTGCGGAAGTCCGTGAGACCGTAAGACCGTAGCCATGTGCCAATATGTCCGTGTGCAGCCATGGTGCGTAGGATACGTTTTACACTTCAGATCCGGTCCAAAGAGTACGATCTAAAACGTGTTGTTAATTACATTTTTCGGACCTACGTTGCAACCGTACGGGATCGACTACGCGCGCGTCAAGGGTGGAAACATATCTGAAACAAAGGATTCGCGATTGAAGTCCAACGCTTCAACACGTAATAACAAAACGTTTACCGAAACGCGGCGAGGGGGAAACCCCCCCCACCCGTTTGGAAATCACTCTGACCCAGTGGCGTTCGGCGGACGGTAACTGAAAATCGTTTCGGGAAACAAGTCGAGTTTGCACCGGCCTCCCATCGACCGCATCCGAACCGGTGATCGGGGGAAAATAATATTTCCGTCGGCGGCGTTACCGGAAATCGATTTCGTCGCGCGCGGACACCTGTTCACGCGGTACGTGACCGCGTACCGGCGTCACGGTATCCGGATCCGGGACGCGCCGAGCCACCGGCGTGCGCGGCGCGCTCCGACGGCCACCCGATCGGTGGACGTGACGTGATACGCGGCGGCGAAAACGGACCGAGCACGGTTGTTACGTTGCCGCGGCGCGACGTACGCGGGCCGGAAAACCGCCACCGCCCCGGGGCCAACGTACCGGAACCGCGGGGGCTGCGACGTCGGCGCGCGGGAAACGAAGGGAGCGAATGGGTGGGGGTGGGGAGAGGCACCGGAAGCGCGTTCTTCCGGAACAGGTTGCGGCCGGTCGCGCGCACGCCCGTCAGTCGATACGCGGCCGCCGCCAACGTCATGGTGCGGTGCCGAGCGCGTGAGTACCGGCCGTGAGAGAGCATGGGTTGCGGGCCGAGCGGCGCGGCCGACCGCCACCGGGCCGACCGGGAACTGTACTTGCCGTCCACCGAGCTGCGTTTCAACGCCGGCCAGATGCAACGGCTCAACGACCACTTACTGCGCGGCTACGAGAACTCCGGTACGACTGCACCGCGCGAACGCGCTCACCCTCGCGCGCGCCATCCGCACGTTTCCCCGTCGCGTCACTTGAGATCCTCGTCCCGTTCGTTTGTCCCGAGTCCGTCGGCCCGAACGCGTTCCAACACATTTCGTCCACTTTCTCGGTATTAAACATAGTTCGCTGTTAGAACGGCTCGCGAGAACGCGTTCGGGGACGAGTGACGAAGTAGACCCGAGTCGGCAAACGTCATTATGACCGGCTCGTCCCGATTTACTTTTTCACCAGTACGTCGCCGGTCCGTAATCGACAACATTTACGATTTTTCATCAGTTGCATTGTGTTCATCGCGCGCGAACCTGTGCACAGTTGTCCTTTTTTGAATTTTTCCCATCGACGACCCTGTTGGCAAGCCATCCGTGCACCGACCATAAGTCTGCCGTCCGTTCGCGTCACGAGCGTCGAGAGACAGCCCACGAGCAAATTCCTTATCAATTATAATATTTCTTATCAAAATTAATAACATAATGACAAAATGGTATCAACATGAACATAGCATGTTTGTGTGTGTCACAAGCAGGTAAATTAAATGATAAACAGCTACATAAAATTAATTTATCCTTAGACTCAAATTTAAAAATGCTACATGGACAAGAATCGAATGTTGTTGTTTCATTAAATGAAAATGTAAGAAAATGTAAGAAAACAAATAATAGATGACTTGAACGAAATTGGCCTCCTTATATCCATAGTGATTCACAGTTTGACCATGCATATGAAAAATAAGACAAATAATATTATGCTACGAAAAAAAATATTATTATAACAGTTTTATATTTTATTTTATGACTATATTATATTGAAAACAGCATTATTATTATTATTATTTTGAAAACAATATTTTTATGACAATTTTATATTTTATTTTATGATTACGACTATTATTTTAAAAACATAATTCACATTGTTATATTAATTTTTTGTATGTTCATGTTGATATCGTTTTGTCATTATGTTATTAATTTTGATAAGAAATATTATATTATGGTTGATAAGGAATTTGCTCGTGGGTTGTTTCTAGACGCTCGTGTTCGCGTCCAACTCCACGGGGCGGGTTTACGGTCCGGTTTTTTTTTTTTTACTCGATAACATGCATACGACGCAACGTACATGCGCATAACGTACAGTTCGCCCGATAATAGACCGACGATCTGTGTACGACTCTTACGCATACTCGCGCGGTACGCATTGTTATCAGACCCGAATTTCATAGCTATTTGTCGCGCGCGGCTGTTGCGTCCGACGTTATTACACGGATCGAAACACTATTGCAGATGTGTACTGTTATCGAGTGGAATAATTGCGGCCGTATTTTTTTACTACCCCAGCGGTACAATATCGGATAGGGCACAGCGTTACCCATGCTCCGTCATTCGAACGTTACTGCGCGCCACTGCCGTATAATTTTTCACTCTGGTACGTCCACTTCGTCTTCCCGTCCGTTAGTATTTTTCCACGTGACCATCGTCACCCACATCGTCCGTAGTACAGCCGGTACGTATGATTCCGTATAGTTGCCGGACAGTTGCAGACATGAACGGATCGCAGTGTTTGTATCGTTAGTGTTAACAGACGGGAGGAAACAGGCTAATCTTACGTTTCTTTCTAAACTTAAAAATTGCGAAGTCGATTCTCCTGCCCTCCTATGTACTAAATCAATTTCAGGGTTCCAAGTTTCTTATCCAGATAATCCTTCACTTTCCATATTCCTTTTAGCCGCCGTAACTATCTAACAAATCGTCCTGTTATCCGTATGATGAAACTGGCCCACAAGAACCCACTCTATTCCTTAGTATTAAATAATAACATTAAATAATTGTCTGGTTGTTCTTTATATCTTAATATTTGTATTTTTTTGTAATTTTTCTTCATAATCATGTATTGCTGTACAATGTAATTGGGCACGCCTCGTATTTAATACAAAATAAATAAATATCGGTGACCAGCGCTTTCGATTCTCATCGAAATTTCGAAAATGTTTGCGTGACGTGACCCGTGCGATCGATCCGCAAGTACATCGTACAGTGAACCGGGATGGTTTTGAGACGCACATTATAAACGTTGCTGATCAATAACTGTTATAAACTGTTACCATTATACTCGTAATTTCGTTCCAACGGAGAACGACTGTAAGATATTAAATGAGCCTGTCAATACGGGGATTCGAACATTATGTTTGGATTTTTTATCTTTTTTTTTTGCGCTTTTAATTTTCGTGTTGATTGTTTTTCCACGGTGTCCGTGTGCACCTATTTGTAAAAGTCGTAAAACTGAATAATTGAAACACGCACTTTTTAAAACGAAAGTAGTACTGACGTGGAGATGTTGCAGTTAACACGTGCGCTCGCTTTTCGTTGTTGATTTATATTTATATTCCAGTGCTACCGTGTCGACAAGTTTAGAGGAAAACAGTACTGGAAAATTAATCAACAACGGTACTACGGTTCGAGTAACTACGGATCGAATAAAATGTTGTAACATCATGAAGTTATCGGATGATGGTTAGAACGAAAATCACACCAGGGGTTCCGCTTATTTTTGTCGAATTGGCAGAGAAATGTGAACGAATAATTTATTTTTTTTAATACGAATGTCGAACGAAACGTGTTTCGCTGTTCATTATAAGTACATAAAATATATGCGTAATATATATAATATTCATGTACCCGCGTACATGTGACGGCGTTATGTCTTATTATCTTATACTCGTAAACAACAATCGCGCATGCATTTTATACTTGAATTATCAATAGCGATGTAGTGTATCTCTTTGATCGGCCAAATAACGCTTTCTCGTTGATATAAAATGTGTGCAAAGAGTCGTCCAAACCTCTCGAGAATGGTGTTTCACCCTTTTAAATAATGACAAAAAGAATCTTTAAATCGATCAAGCGCGAAGCAATATATGTTGGAACGGACGTGAATAGTAAATATATACGTTTCAACTTTCTAATTTCAAAGTATTATACTTTTGACTAATGGTTTCGCATTTAGATATTTTATTTATTTGTTTTTATTTTTACGTTTGTGATCATGGTGATGATTATTTTTCCTTTGGAAAATGTATACTAAAGTAACACGAAAAAAAAAAACCATTCCAATGCAAAATTTTAGATATGTGATATTCACATCTTTGAAGACCGTCAAGTGTTGTGCTTAAACTAACCAACAAATGTATTAAATAATATATACAAACTAAGCGTCGCGTATTATAAATAAATATTACAGTTAATATGCTAGTTAAATTAAATGCAATGTGAAATTTTTTATTATCTAGGTAAAATACAATCAATATCCATTGATACGCAATATAAGTATTTTTAATATTTAGTTTTTTATTATTTATTAGTAAATAAAAACGTATTAAAAATACATTAATAATACTATTAACACAGTACGTTCTTAATATACTGATCACATTATATCTCTTTGATTAATAATTATTACTTCAGATTTGAATGAAAACTAATAGATCTATTGGTCTATAAAAACTGACTTTTGTTGTTGTTGTAAATATTAATTAAATACTACTGTTCATATTTTATTATTCATTTAATTGTGTTTTTTAATCTGAAGAAAAATGTTTTTTTTTTTTGTATTAAAAATATTGCGAAAATATTTTTTACCTTATACGTTCATAAATATTATTGAGTTTTCGAAATTTGTTTCAGTTTAGGTTTAGTTTTATGTCAAACCCTGGTAGCCATGTAATCATGCTAAAAGCATCTACATTTACTAGAACAGTACGGATATCATTAGCGTAGTGATAATTTACTTTGAAATCGTGCTATAATTGATAAGTCTTTAATACTATCGTTTGTGATTTTTTTATTTTCGTGCTACATAAATAAGAAAAACAAAATTGTTAACATTGACAAAAATAACAATTTTATAACTGCTTGATTTTAATAAGAATATGTATCGAATAAAGTTACAACGTATAATGTCACCATAAACATTATCAACTTTTATATACATTTAAAGATATACTTTTTACCTTGCATTGTTTATACAATTTATGTTAAGCAGATATATCAAGCTTTTTCGTCCACTTGACTGATTGTCATTTTAAAATGCATCTGCAAAATAATAACTGTGTCAAAAATCAAAACAAAACAGTTGAAATTTTAATCTATACATGTATTAGCTCAGCAACATTTTACACATTTCATACTGATCTTATTTAAAACTATGTGTACAGATGACTTATCTACTAGCTCAGCATCATTAAACATTGAAGCCATCGTTCATCGTATTGTTCAGCGTTTATTGTGTGGCATCGGAAAGTTGGACAAACGATTCGCCAGCAAATTTTTAATTACCGCAGAACCCATGTCATCCTCAATAAAAGTATGCGTGACAAAAAAATAGCAATAAATAATGATGACAATTAATTAAACACCCCGTTATCAACCTGAAAAAAGTGCACTGAAATTCCACTTAAATTATTTATAGTCTCTACTGAAATAATTGTTTTTGCTTGAAGGGCATGAAACAATTTAAATTCAAAATGTGCACAATATGTCGTTTTATTTTTCTTTTAATCTAACTATTGAATTTCAGTTATCCAAAAGTTTTAGTTACTACGTGCGACTTGACTTATTATCAGAACCAAAAATCTACGAAAATGATTTTGAATATCAAGTTAGATGCGTGATGGAACAGGATGGTGTGCCTCAAGGTTTTGCTAAAATCCGAGTAGTCACCAACAAACCGGAGGAATGGGCTGACCTAATCGATGGCGATGGATACTTGAGACGGTAAAAAACATGCATCAGTATTGTGTAATTGTACTCTGCACATAACGAAATGAATATATATATATAAATGTATACACATACAAATGGACTATGTTTACTGCACCTCAAAGTTTTTACGGCAACATAAACATAAACTACGATTCTTCGTTAATTAATTTTACTTTGTGATTTTTACGATGACGTAAGTTTCAGTTTAACTGAACAAGCAGTCTTCCGTTTAAATAATATAAACCGGAGGAGGGGGTAAAATAATGCGCATAGTTGAAGTCAAATATGTATTTTGCGCTGCTTCCATTTGAAATCCAGTAAAATATACTAAAATAAATAGTATTCATTGGACCCGTCTTATTTGCAAACAGTAAAAACTATAATTTAAGCGGAAAAATAACGTTTATAAGTTTTCGACATCAAAAACTATACATTTAAATTAGTTTTCGTTTAGTTCATGACCGGACGATTCGTAATTCAAGAAATTACGACGTTGTTTACAGAAAACATTTATGATACAGCTAGTAGTAATGGAAATTATATATATATTTTTGTACGCGTACACGCTGAAAAAACTGTTATGGCTAAACATTTGTTATTGCACAGTTGTAAAGTGTTTCGGGTGAAAAATATAACAAACATGGAAATAAAACGTTCAAAATAGTTAGTTAAATGATTGAGACGACTTCTGGCTGCAAATACCACTACTATTACAAATGATAATAAAAAAATAATAATTGCCGTACACTCGAACACGGCCAATGTCGATATTTCCATTGCACTGCTGTAAAAACGCGGAATCGAAGTGGATAATAAAAGGGTAGACATTAAGGATTGTTAAACTCAAATCCCCGCAATCGACTGTCATCTGGGATTTATTACTGCGTTTGACAAAAAAAAAAAAAACTTTTATGTGATGTATATACAATAAAACACATTTCTTGCTACCGTTCGAAATAGGTCAGATCCGCGAGATGTGCGTATACGTTATCACGCGCTGTTGTGCCGAGTAGTCATTATCATATCGTCTAAGTTTCAGCGTTTAACGATATTTGCGCTCCGCAATATTCATAATAATGTAACACATTCGTTTATCATACAATATCATGTCGGGTTTTAATGACCATTTTTCATGAAATATGTTCCAACGGAAATTAATGAAACTTGTCAATTCTTAACATATCCGGAGATCCAACAATTTGATAGCACATGGTTCGGTATCGCGTCATTAATCACGTTCACGATTTTTCGCATGACACATTTAATTATAATGTTTGTCAAATATCCTTCGCGGAGTGTTGTGGGATATGCGAACAAACTTTTCTTATTAAAATAAAAAAAACCTATTATTTTGATCCCTTACCCTTCGTATATTGTATGTAGGCGTTAACCGGGAGAAAGTTGTCTTTTACTTTTATCACACACTACGTTTGTTGACACGCTCGTTTGTAAGGTATTTTTTTCTTATATCTCGACGAATCCGTGTAGTTTTACGAATAAAATCGATCAAACAAATCTGCTGCAATCTGATTAATGTCATATTAAATTTACTTCGTATTTATTTACTAAAGATACGATGAAATATTAATTGGAAAACAACTATCGTAATATTGTCACATTTCATGCTTATTGCAGTGATTCGACGGTGGTTTTGAAGTAGATGATTTCGTAATTTCAGGGACAATGTGAAACTGCGCTTCGTCGAGCTGTTGGCCGCGTCCGCCTCCAGGAACGACTTGGTCGGTCGACCCGAAGACGTGGACGAAAGCTACTTGTGTGGGTGTCCCGGTAAAATCGTCGACGCAGAGTTGCTACACGAAATCCTCAAGAGTCCCGCGGACGAACAGGTGTTTTTCGGGATGGGTAAGCGTGCGGAAAAATCGATCGGATCCGTCGGGGGTATTCGGGTTTCACAGTTTTTTATTTTTTTGCAATAAGGGCAAATCGGTTCCAGTAAGTTTCCTGATCCGAGAGACTTGCGGATCTCCGTCGTCGAAGACGCGCAATGCGTCAAGTTACGCATATCCGGTCCGAAGACATCCGGTGACATCGCAGTCGTCCTGCTGCCCACCATCGAGTTATCCGGTTGGCCCAAGAACACGGACATCCTGTCCAGAATACCGCTTACGCATCCTGATATACTGATACATCAACAAGCCACGACTATGGTAAGCGCTTTATCGTTCCACAATCGTAATACATTCATCAGCTTCATGAACGGAGCTCAATAATAATCATTATTTCCCAAACTTGGAACATTATTTAACAGCGGTCTCCAGTCTTGTAGTACACGAACTTGAATACAATCTTTTAATTGAGAAGAAAATATCATCATTTCTATAATAGTCATAGGCAGGTTTAAATGTACGTATTATACACGTAATGTAACTGGCACGTGCGGACTATAACAAAAAGTTGAACTTTTGTTTGGGTTCGCGCAATAGTGTATGAAGTATACAATATTCCTGACGTATGACATAACCTAACCTAAACGTCGATCTGAGTATAAAATCGCTTGAAAGCATTTTCAGAAAACGCTAGACGTGTTCGTTAACGGTAATTGACGTTTACCGAAACTTTTGTACGATGCGAAAAGTCCAATTGAAATTCAGCTAAACTTTTAATAATTACGACCCGTACAAAACTTCGTCCTAGGTGTAGCTTGAAAGAGCAAATATTATTAAACGATGAATTCATTATGCAAACATTTAAGGGTTGGTAGCTGAATACACGAATGGACCCGACGGTTTAGACCATACATGTATTCGAATGAATCAAATTATTCGTATAGATTGGTCATTTTCGACATATTACGATGGAAATCAGTTTTCGAAAGCAACGATCCCCCCTCATACTTCTTTAAATTATCAAGCGACACGTTTCTAAATATATTCGGATTAACCATACGTTTATCTTAACCTCTTCGATCTCCATTCCTGCGGTATTATTATTGTTGAGCTTTGGGGTCGCATAGCCGTTTTTTAAAAAAACAAATACATAATTGGCATAATGTTACGATCTCGATTCAATACGATATGATCGATCATTTACGCAGGGGTTCTACGTGGTGCCGGTAGCGCCGCACCCGACGGTCCGGTGCTACAACCGACCGGCCACGTGGCAGATTCGGTTCCCGGCGGCGGAGTGCCTGTACCAGACGCACTACTCGGAACGCAGCGTGGTGAGCAACATCTACCACTTCCTGCGGACCAAGGTGCCGGCGCTGCGGAAGGGCGAGCACCGGGTGTGCGTGATCAGCGGCCACATGATCAAGACGGTGCTGTGGTTCCGGCTGGAGGCGTGCGGCCGCGTCGAGGACTGGGACCACCGGCGCGTGGCCGAGCACGTGCTGTGCGTGCTGGACTCACTGGTGGCCGCGCTGCGCGCGCAGCACCAACGGTCGTACTTCTTCCCGCACGCCAACGCGGTACTGGACGCGCCGCGCGCCTGCCGCACCGCGGTGCCCGAGGACGATTACCAGAACGACGTGGAGGTGCTCGAGTCGTACATGTACGGGCTGTTCGAGAAGTCCGTGGGCAGCGACTCGATCGTCACCGGACAGGCGTTCCAGAACACGGACACGGACTACTGGCAGAACCTCGAGTCGGTCATGTTGCATAAGTGGCACCGGGTGCTGGACACCATGCGGGACCCGAGGCCCCGGGGGCCGGATTACACGCGCAAGCAGGTCGAGTACGTGGCCGAGGTGTTCAAGGGAATGTTAGCCACCAGGCACCACGTGAGTATGGACCGCGGTCGCGCGCGCCCCGGCCCGCTAGGTCCCCGGCGGCGTACGATTGTCGTTCTGCTGCTCCAGATTTTATTCACCCGCGCAGTGGTTCGCAGCGTTCGGTTGTGACGAGACGAGAGGCGACGTGACGTCAATAGCGTTTGAACAACAATCGTCCGATCGACGAGTTTTGTGAATCGATCGCAATATTTTGTCGACCACGAATCGATGAAATCGGGGACCATGCTCGGATTCTGATGCGCGATCGCTTCTGGCCGACGGCACGCGGCTTGTTACAAATCCTTTGCGAAATAACGACATCGGTTCGGTCCCGACCGGAAGACGTCATTGTGTCGACTTTACGCTTGCCGGACAGTTACTAATAAATATTTGCGATCGACCTGTGGGTCGCGTATGTACTACGACGGTTCCGTAAAGGCAAAACGATCAACGATATACGTGTTGAACCGTACCCACAAAAATTTTTTCTATACGTTCGCCGTGTTTGAATTATTCGTATATCTTGTATCCGTACTACTTTTTCGTCCGTGCGCCAACACGAGTGTCGATTTGATGTTACACCGTAATATTAGTAACGTTTCGACGTACACCGGATGCGATAAAGACGATATACACGTAATCCGTGGCGCAAATAATCTGCGAGTATTAACGAAGATAAACGACTCAAGTTCTCGCGTCGTTATCGCACGTCGCACGAAAAACATTTATAAGCAAAGCCTAGTTTACGTATATGACGCGCGCACTAGTCGTTTTCTTAAGGTCCTGTTCGACGCACGTAGAATCACAGATGAAATACATATTTCTGAAACACGAAACTGGTCAACTCTATGGACTCAATGTTCCCGCGTAACCGGCCGATCTGTGAAACATGAGTCTTTTGGTCCGCACACGGAGCGATCGATACGCGACGCGATGTGTGCACGATCTATGCGATTACGCGTGCACACACGAAGGGATGGTCATGCGATTATTCGACCGCGTGTCGGCTTCTTTTTTCCTTCTTTTTTTTTTTTTTTAAATATTTTTTTCCGCCCACTCATAACGTTCGCATGCGTCGTCCCTGCGACAATATGCATACATATACGTAATAGTGTATACGTTCAACGTGGTGTCACGGTCGCACAAACGTGTGCGCTTGTTCGGAACCGAAATACGCTCGCGGGCGTCATTAAAAACAGTACAATGGAAATTGCACGGAACGCGCGTACGACACTACCGGTTTCCGCGCCGACAATCGTCACGAGAACGACTCCGTACACAATAGTAATAAAATTATCGGGTGAGACACCGCCGTACATTTTCGACCGTGACCCTCCCCCCCCCTTCGCAATTAAGGTGAATGTACGATTTTCGAAACATGCGAAAATATGCCTAGTGCCATACGTCGTTCGGCCAACATTCACAAATTATTGTTTTTTACACCGTTTTAATGTCGAATCGAAAACGCGTACCATCGGCGAAAGGGGGCATGTAAACTCCCCTAAAGTATTGTAAATTTCCCTAAAAATATTTTGCTATTGAATAACACGTATGTAAACCTTCCCTAAACTGAAAGGGTCTTGCAAACTTTGGTCTTCATTATGAATCATGAGTAAATTTATCACTGTACAACGAACTAACCGAATGCACAATTTTTAAACCTAAAGACTAGGCAGAGGCTTCTTTCGAATCGAAAAAAACAACGAATGCTTGATAATCATTTCAAACGTTATTACCCCGTGGTTGAGCATTATCCAAGTTAGGTACGGCCAGTACCGACATCGTCGCTCAGAAGACCATCGATTGTGTAGTTCATATACAAATCTGTGGTAAAAAAAAAAACTCCTTTAACGTATTCCGTTTCCATTCCGATCCGTCTAAATGATGGTGATACAACGACGTAGTCGATTACAGTTGCGGCAGTTTCAAATCTGTTCTCGAAGTCTTTATCACAGATTGAATAGCTCATTGTGGTGAATGTCGAACACGATTACACTGCCGCTCTGAAGACAATTTTGAATCATCGCTTTCAATCCCCATTTTAGTCTTATTAATCTCCTTAATGGACTTTAATATTCACCGAACGTATTATATGCAAACGTTATGCAATTTGTTCGAAACCGACAGCGTCCAGATTGATAATCAGTCTTTATATAATAATGTTATTACTTCTAATTGTTTTCACTTCAAACACATAATTTAGATTTTTACGATTTATTTTTATATTTTATCATTCGAGATTCTTATTTCTATGTATCATATATCTTTTTCGTTCATATCGATAAAAATTTCCATCGAAAAAATCTGAAACATTTGTAGGTGCCAATTAGGATCTATTCATATTTTCAAGATACTCGAGTCACTTGAAAAAAAAATTATTCTGTCATTGTCAAATTCGAAACGATCACTAACGACCCTAACCATTAAAAAAAAATATGATTTTTCATTATAATTTTAATTTAAAATTAAAAACTAAATTAAAATTAAAACTTTCTAGGTGATATTACACTAATATATTTAACCGTGTTATGAAATCCGAGGTATGTTAATATTATGATGCGATACTAGATTTGAGTCTAAACAAATTTGGAAATACTAAATTTATATTTTTAGTGTCTCGCGGCGAGACACTATATTTCTCTATTACCATGTAACAATGACCAAAAACAACTATTGTAGAATCTAATATATGTTACAGACAATGTAAACAGTTGGATAATTTCCGACATTGACCGGATGATGTTAACATATATTATAGTCAGCCATGTGTGGTGAATGTCTGATAAACATAGTATTTTTATGTAAACAAAAGTATCGTAAACTATTTGTTCAAAATGCCTTTATGTTAGGATTTAACACACGCGATACTGTAACACAGTAGATGGGCGTCATCAAGTACTCATTGTGCGTACAAATTTATTTAAACATCAAAAAAAAAAAAAACAATTTTTTCTTCTTCTATTTTGTCAATATTAAATTCCATGGTTTGTCGATAAAACAGCTGAGATAGATCTAAAAAGTAGCGCTTATAGTTGTATTAATTTTTCAGGACTTTTCAATATTTCCCTGAAAACTATAACGGGAAACACGAAAAAACCAACAACTTAAAAGTATCGTGTACGTTCGATTTACAACTCGCGGAAGTGTAACTTGTATAACTTTCCAGCACTTTAACAGCTCTGAAAGTTGTGTTCTGAAAACCTCGTAAAAAGAATTATCACTGAAATACGTCTCGTAGCGATAAATAATTCACGGCGAGGAATGTCTAGAAATGCTCTTTCCATCAATGTTACTCTTTGTTCATATCTTATGCTTAACAGATAACAGTGTGTATTGCTATTGGAAACAAAAATAAAACGTGACAAGATTTGAAACCATGAATATAACGCAGTATCAAATAATTGGTTCTCGCGCATTATCAGTTAGTGTACTAAGATCAATCGATTTTCGAACTCCTTATATCGTGGACAATTAATGTTGAAACTTGTCTAATATTGTAATACCATCTAATTTTTGACGTTACCACGGTGACATTGATTACATTGTTAAATTAATCTTTCACGTGTCATGCTATATTATAATGAATTTACGTATACATGACGTGGTCTTCGCTTTACAAACCGAGGGTTTTCAAGCTCGTTAAACGTACTACACGTATAATAACGCGATGTATACGCGTGGTGTTCGAAAAGTGAATTAATATAATATTATATTATACATGACACCTCAACACATAATATTTATGGCTGATAGTGTCCGATGAAATGTCATCTTTAAAGAATACACGAAATATAATCATGTACTTTTATGATTTTGAATAAATAACTCCTTCGCATTGACGACGGTTGAATAAGACGAATACTGCCTGTGGAGTTTGAGAATTAAAAACTTCCGATTCCAGTACTGAATAACTAAAATGTGTAGGATTTTTGCGTACGTTGTTGTCGAAGGAATTTTCAATTATACCAACACATTGTGTACAACTGGTTATACTCGTATAGTGCCTATTGTGTAATTATACGGTACAGTAGACTCTCGATTGTTCGGAAACCTCAATAAATCGATCAAAACGTTTGTTTCGCGCGAGAAAACTTATAAATTGAAGAAAACAATGTGTTTCGACGCGTTCGATAATAATTAAGTGCGAGATGGTGGGTAACACTCTAAACTTCGAATATTTTTTGTCACAACCTTTGCAACTCGATCGTTTTGAAATGATGCTTTTGCACCGGGACGGTTGTCGACAGTCACGCGTTCCAGCAGCAACGCTCTTACAACGCGTTTACGATAAATAATTATTATTTTTTTTTTTAATTATTAAAGTAATCATCAATCTATACAAATGTTTGTACATATTTGTACATTTTAAATGAATATAACATAACGTATATAACGGATAGGAAAAGACACCCATTGGTGACACCCAGCATGTATATTAATTTATTTTATTTTTAATTTTTATTTAATTATTAATTTATTTATTTTTATTTTTTTATTTATTAATTAACACCCGCATTTATATAAGTGAATGTAAGAAAATTACATTATATTAAGAGGTATCTGCAACGTTTTCTTTTTAGTCTGCATATTGGGTTGTTAGGTAATGTGTAAGAAAACAATTCGGATATGGGAGGATTATTATTTGACTAAAGTTTATTATGATATTTAATTTTTAATATTCATTTTGGAACGTAAAAGAGGTCTGAGAAGATGAAGGCGGGAATTTAGAGCTTTGCGTTTGTTTTTGATATGTAAGACCCAAGTCAGTCTTCTATCTAGGATTAGACCCAGATATTTTTTAGTTTCAGGGCTGATGGGAATAGGGATATTGTTCCATGTGACTGGTGGACATGATTCATTTTTAAGGGTGAACGGTAGTGTGTAAGATTTTGACTCATTTATTTTTATTTTCCACCGCTTAGTCCATAGGTAAATATATTTAAAAACCGAGCGGCGGACCACTGAGGCGGCTGCCAGGCACGTGGCACGCGGGAAACCGCCAACGATTCCCGTCGTCGGTTTATCGTTGGCGGGTGCGACGAACGGGTCGCTGATGTTTCGATCACTTTGCAGGTGGTGGCAGGGGCGGGTGAATCGTCGTCCGCCTGGCACTTCCTGACGGAAGAGAAAATCCCGCGGTGTAGCAACGGGCCGCCGGCTGGAGACGAGATCGGGCTGGACGCCGCGTACCTGGTGTCCGTGATCGCGGAACAAGCGTTGGCCGTGCACGCGGCGGCGGCGCGGAAAACGGACGCCGGGCGACGACCGCCGTGCTTCGCGACAGCCTCGGACCGCGAGACCCGTCGCGGCCGCCGTCCCACCGTGGCGGCACGACGACGCCGCGGCGCGCCGGCCACCGAGGACGGGCCCGAAGCGGTGCGCCGGCTGCTGTGCGACGTGTACGCCGACGCCGCAGCGGCCAACATCGCGGGCGACCCGGACCTGGTGCGCTTCGTTCTGGGCCGCCTGCACGCCGTCGCCGCCACCACACCAGCCGGCCGCCGGTTGTTCCGGTGCGGGCGGCGCCGCGGCGTGCTAGGCCCGCCGCTCGAGATGTTCCTGCGCCAGCTGTACGACGTGTCGCACACCACGTGCTGGCACCTGGACGAGTGGCGGCGCCGGTGGGACCGGGACGAGCTGCGTTCGCTGGGCGCCTTCGTCAAGCTGGTGTGCCGGGAACGAGTGCCGCCTGCCGAAGCGCTGCTGGACGCCATCGACAAAGGTATCGCGCGCGGTGCGTAGTTATTACTGAGGGGGCGGAGAGCGATTCATCCGGATATTTTAAACGCGCGACGTCCACTAAGCGATTCCGACGGGCACGCTCAAGCGTTTCTGAGCTTTCGCTTAGCGCGTGCTGATTTTATTTTTCAACCGAGATGACGTGCCGGAAAATGTTGCTCACTGTAAGCGCTGCATTAACTTTCCGGTTAAATGTTCGATTTTTAGTGGTAATAATTCCTTAGTTAAGACGTACAACATTAGTTAATTCATATACCGATTCACGTTGAGATCCTTTTCTACGTTCGCCCTCATTTTTGGATCTATTTTTGCGATCCGGGTGTCTAGGATTTCAAAAAGGCTTCCTGTACGAAAACAGTAGTAGCCGTTTCGTTTGCACAGAATTCACGCGGAAGACATGTAAAAGAAACTTTTGCTTTTAATCGTCCAATATGAAACTATTTTGTTCTTTCAGCGATTACCGCGCGTGTGGCGCTACACGCTACACACGACGCGAATTTGGTGGGGATAGATAGTACATGTGCAACTATGTATCGCTTTTATTGTATCAACCGATGTATGGTGAAATCACTAAACGGTATCTCAAAATGCAAATCACTCTTGGTGGGGACGCGCGTCAGATTGGCATTACGAGCCTTTTGTTCGGTAGAAAAAAAAAAAATTATAAAAATATTCTAGATCGGTCGGATGTGCGATTGATATAACGAAAACTGTATTTTTCGGGGTGCAAGTATATGTAGGAGAAGCGGATAAATAATCACTAGTAGATCTCAGAAGTTTTATACGGTCGACCGTGACCGCTTTCGTGTGTCCTCGGTCGTACGAAACGTTGCCGTTTGTTGCAGGTTGGTCGTGGGCCGACAAATTGCTACTGGCCGTGGTCGAGTTCCAGGACGGCGTGGACATCATCTGCACGCCAGGACCGGGAACCGTTCACCGTTTCACTATATCGCTTCCGGAACCCGAACAGGAAACGTTCGCGTCCCGCAGCCTGGGCAGGGCCGCGAACAGACAACGTTGTTCCGCTCGAGCGGACACGGTGTCCAATAAATTCAAAACAGTTAGAGGTAGGTGGATCGTGCTGCTGGTATGTTTTCCGCATTCTAAAACGAGATCCTCCTTCTCCCTCTCCCCTCCCCCGTCGTTGTATTTCGTGTTTTCCATCGGCAGACGGATCACCGGCCGTCAGCCGCCGGCGGTGACCTCTTTCCGTCCGAAAATAAATAAAAACCAACTTTACCTCTCGGTGCTCCCTCCTCGACGTCCCAAACCGTTCCTGAACATGCACGCACTGCAGAGTCTTATCCGAAACACGTGTGCAAAACAAAACGTCTCCACGTAATCTTTTACCTCCGCTTCGGTTTCGCTTGTCTCCCGCGTCGATATATGTTATAGTGATACGTGTTCTGGTCCCGACAGGCATGTCGTTTTTCGATGCAGACAGTTCGCTTAACGACGACAAGAAAAACGCTCCGAGGACGACGTTAACGTCGTACGCCCGATTGCAGCGCCAGAGCCCCATGACCTCGACGATCTCGGTCAACAGGTACAGGAGCAACCACCGGGTCCTGGGCAACATCGTCAACGCCCTGATCAACCTGCAGAAGTACACAGTGAGTCGAGTCCGTCGTTATATAATAGTCCGCCTACTGTTGCACGCACGCCGAGTAATTATAATAATATTAGTTCACGACAACGTGGAACGTGCCCTTGACGTAGTGCTTTTGAACATGTCACATGGAGTCGGTAATAGAATTGGTACCGCACGCGTTCGCAAAACATTCATCAATAGTGCTTCCCCTGTTAGCTCGAACACGTGTTTTTATTTCGAGGTAAAATAAAAAACAATTCGCATTTCACATGATCGCGAAAAAATAACAACCAATTATAACCTCAAAATAGCTTTTTACGAAACTGTCGAAACAAAGATCGGTCGTCATCGTCACTCCACGGAACTATAATTGTACATTATTCGAATTTCCCATAATAATTATGAATATTTCAATACTATCGCAGATAACAGTATATAATCGCCATGCATATCATATGAATTGTATCGAATGACGTTATATGAATTTTTTTTGTTAATAACAAAATTTAAATGAATATTCTTTCGGAACAATTTTTATTTTATTATTTTCTTTTACGTAATATCATAATAATTATCATAATATTTGTTAAAAAAACGAAACATATGTTTTTACAGTAAAACATGTAATTATTGACTTTCATATGCATAATAACCATTTGTGTACCTCGTACAACCTACCGAAAATTACATGATCAGAGAAATTCAATGCAAAGGTCATGATCACAAGTAGTGTATTGAGTTAAATCAGTTTTCGGAAAAATGTAAATAACACACCACTCTTCTAAACTATCGAAAAATATTACGTTTCTTTTATTTCATTTTCTCAACATTTACTCACGTAGGATACAAAAAAAAAAAAAAAATTATCTTCATTCATGTCATACATAATTTCACAATACCCGTTGGATTAAAAAAATAAAAATCGTTAGATTAACGAAATTATAATTACCCAACATCAAATTTAATTGATCAATATTTATTATCGTTAACGTGTACATAGTAATACTGCAAACACGTGAGAGCAGGTGATTTCCTAGTGAATATTTTGATTCGACCACAAGCTTTGTACATGAACGATGCCTGATTAGTAATTAAGCTTCTACACGAATCCAAAATGTTCTTAGTAGTATATTTTAGGTTTTAATTAAACATTCAACTACTTGTATTAGTTATATACTTTATTGATTGTAAAATTAAGACACTTTTATATATCACACGAAATCGTTGCATCCGAATAGTAATAACATATTTTAAAAATTAAAAACACTGATTTCACAATAGTTTTACTGATAAAAGTGAAAACGACTAAATAATATTCAATTTAAACCGATTACACTATTATTTTTTCTCATTACCGTAGGAAAATTTGGTCAAAAATGAAGTTGAATAATTCCATAAAAATAAATGTTATCAATCCCAAATGATAATTAACCAATTTTATTATAAAAAGCTTAATTAAAAAATTAAAGTTTATAAAAGTAAAACAAAGGGAACGAAAATTGGTTTTATTCATGGGGTAGTTTTAAAAATTGAGTATTCATTATTAATAAATAGGGCTCGAATTTTAAAGCACAATTAATAACAAAAAAAAAAAAAAAAAAAAAAAGTGAGAAAAAAAAAAAAAATATATTTTTTTTAAAAAAAAAGCAAAAAAAAGTTCGATCAAAAATTAACCTTAACTAGGTATAAAATTGAATAAAAAAAATTGAAAAATTGATTTAAATAAAAAAAAAAAAATAACTACCATTTATTTTGCTAGATTGTTATTACTGAAACTGACTATTGTCAAACAATAAATTGTTATACATTAAGAATAAACGCTCTACATCTTCCGCTGAATTGATAAGTGCATAGCGGTTTCTTTTGAATCAAACCCAAGATAATTATTATTTTATGAAACGCCACACAGTTTATTGTTAATTTATTTTAATTGTTTTCAACCTTTGTCTTTTGAAAGAACGTGGTTTAATTTAATAATCCAATAACCATTTAGTCCGTATTCCGAATTTTTAAATTTCTTATTAATTTAATTTACATTTTTTTTTATTACTATAGTATAATAAATATATTAAAATGCAACAGCTGGAATAATTGCAAAAAACCATTTATATAAAAAAAAAATCCCCGAAAAAAGCAAAAATAAAATGGTTTATTTGGAATCAGAGTGACATGAAATAAATTTGTGTATAAAAATTAGATTTCTATCTCATATTTAAAAAAGAAAAATTATATTATTTAAAATCCGAGCTCTATTAATAAGTATAAAATTGCATTTGAAGAATGTTACACAATGCCATTCGAGTTATCTTGGATTTTTTATTAATAAACTCGAAAGTCAACTACGAAAAAGCAAGTTTGTTACAATTTTTAAGTTTATTAACAATTAATGGTTATAAAACTGAATAATAATAAATATTTTTTTATACAATATGCATCAAACCGTATAATTAATATTATTATTATAATATTGTAATATCATACTATCTTAATCATTTTATTCATTTTATCCACAATGATTTCATTAAATCAGAATACTTTATTCGACTATAAATATTCTCTGTGTTAATTTTTACAACTACGATAGATTATACTTGCTATTGAAAATTATATTTTTTATAATATTTCCATAAATTATAATATATACGTCAATCCTACATCTGTATTTTACTAGCATTCATATTTGCCTGCAGGTATTGTAACATGTTCAGTTAAAATATTATCGGTTGCAGGTGTACAGGAGCTAAAATATAACTTAAAATAAACACATTTATGTTCGAGAATTGAAAATAATTATAGGTGTACATGCATATACGTATATGGATACATAATTCTTTAGTTGTAGATTTGTGTTTGCACGTATTTTGAATTGTACTATGTATTTCAAATCTTTTTTCATCACGTTTATTTTGCACGCAAATACTTGAATACTAATATGGTTAAAATGGCGTATTTTCTGTAATTTAAAAATGTTTAATTATTTAAATGATAAAAAAAACGACGTTTTTATTCATATTCACGCCTACACCTGGCACTTGGGACAAATGGTTTATAATTACAATCGTGCTCTAAACATATACAACACGCGTTAGTGGACGCGTACAAGTTGAATATGATCGATATTTTTGAACTTTTTGCAGACAGTTCACGTCTTGCAAACATCCCGGAATATCAGGCATTAACATTCAAACGATACACCGGGCCCAATGATTTTTTGAATTAAAGAATGATTCAGTTTCCGAATCTTGCCACAACGATAGGGATTTTGCAGAGTATTTGCTCTCCTTCAATGATTCTCCCGCGAGAAGTTCTAGGTATTTTGCAAATTTAATCGTGATCAAGCGCGAGTAAATCCTATTGCTCGATGTGAACAAGATATTTATACTCGTATATATTATATAGCCGTGGGTCACGTATACATGGTGGAAAAGAAGAGTTTTCGAGTTTGGCTCAGAAAAAAATAATAATAAAAAAAACATAGAGGCCCGCAGGGGCGAAAAGAGCAGTACACAAAGAAAAAAGAAAAAGAAATCCTTGTACAGAACTTCCCTACTCCTGTGTAAAAGTTCACTGTATGTGTGTGTCTGTGTGAATGGTTGATAATTTATATCAGTGCAATATCGTCACGCGTGATCTTCGTGTATTAAATACGAAATTACCAAAAAATAATAAGCATCCACAGTTCTCTACTCTTTCACTGCTCTCCCTGTTCTCTTTTCAGAATATTCTTATTCGTCCATCTTTGTTTCCCTCGGTTACCGAACAACCGATGTCAGTTTTCTGCTTAACTCCCGTTCCATCCGATCATACTCTCTATTATCTTCTACATCCTTGCTTCCCAAACTAAACAGTAATTTTCAATTCTTGCCAGGGCGCAGAAGGGCTTACTCCGTACACCTCTCAAACTCCTTAATCTATTATTCATCACCATGCTGTAAACAGATTGTTAATAAATACATATTAATAAAAAAAAAAAACTGCCAGAATGGCGAGTGCAACACGTTTTCGCACAATGTGTTCGCTCGAATTCATATTTCGCACGCCAAAGACCGACTTCCGGTTTTTCGACTGCATGGCGAATGATTTTTTTTTTACCCCTACGCAAGTATAGCAAAATAGTTTTTCAAAGTTTCGACAAGTTTTTTTCCATCTCGCATCGTGTTGTCATTATCGCTGTACATTACGTGCGCGGATATATGAGTGCGTGAACCGCGAACGGACGGAATGATTACTTCTTCTCCCGCACGGAAAAATTATCAGCACACGTAATATATATCTAGTTCTAAAAGGATACGGTGGCGACAGTTGAGAAACAACCTTAAACGAATGGAATTCGACAAAATCTAATTTGTATACAGTGTGTTCGAAATAAGAATTATACACACATGCATGGGTGTAATGTCGTACCCACGGGAGTTTTCGGGACTCACGAAGCCGAATGAAAAAGTGGGTTCATTGTAGGTCGAATATAAATGATAATCATACACGACCGTAATTTTTCATGTTGACGAAAAAATAAATAAAAGACCGACCGTCCGCCCGGGAGTTATTTTACTATTTCAGTTCAATTTAGAAACTAATCAATTGTAACAACCGTATCATAAAGAGTTGAAGTTAAAATAAAGTTTATGTTGTGTACATAAGTGCATGATAAATAAACTTGTGGGTACACGGCATATCTTTCTAAGACGGGGCATACAATTCGGCCAGATCCTTCTAAGACGTAGCATGTAATTCGGACATATCCCTCTAAAATGTGACATGCGTTCCGGAAGAAACATCCTCTAAGAGATGTCATGCGATTTTTTTTTTTTTTTTGGCATGCAACTCGGATGCAGCCCAGTTTTCATAGAGAAACAGATTTTACCCTAAATATTAACAAATAAAACTAAGAAAATAATTAAATATGACAATAATATATCTACTCAATGATCTTACAAAGTACATAGACAATTATAATTAATTAGTGAATAGTTTTAAAATTTCAATAGACGTGTATATCAGATACACGAATTCTTAAGTAAT